AGTTTACCAAGTACAAATAGTACAATATTACGGGCTGTTCGTACAATGTTTGGTTAGTGCCTGGTAACGCTAACCGGAATAATTTATCAAGTGTTAACCGACAAAATTCTACCGGTTGGCGGTTAGTCTCAACTGACACTTAACCGGATACCGGACATTGTAAGAACGGCCCTAAGTCATTAGTCAATTACTCATCATCTCCAGAGGAATCAGAAGATTACCCATCATCCCCCTTTTTTAATTTAACAATCAGATGCAAACAAACATTCTGAATAATGTCATGTTTTCTTGTTCTGTGGTTTAACCATTTATTCTTACGTCTATACCATGATTAAAGATAWACTGGTTGTATAAACAATACAATTTCTAATTGTGGTCATTATGTAAATTCTGGATTCAAAGGGGATCTCAGTGTCTCGGCAGTACCTTACAGTAGCTCCCCACATTTATAAAATCTTCTAATAAAATTTTATAAATAAATTAGGTGATAGACATCTACTGGCTTCCGCAGTCAAATGCATTTTGTAAATTTATTTTATAAATAATTTATTCTCTTTATTTACTCAGTTAAAAACTTAAAAATGTAATGCCTTAAAGATTCTTTCAAGTTTTTCTACCATTAACAAAAAAAAGTTTACAGAAGTTTTATTAAGTTATTTTTGAGAATTTGAAGTTCATAAATGCTGTTAATACATAATAAATTATAAAAATATATAAACAGTTTTTTAATGTATATGTTAAGTTCAAATTTAGATAGAATTAGGTATGTAATTTAAAAATATTATTCTTGGGTACTCGAAACTTTTAAGCCATAATTTATCTTAAACACTCAAAGACGTATTTAAATGCAATTTTTTTGGCAAAAATTGGCTCTATTTTCTTAAGATAAAAATTTATGTAGAAGTATCATTTCTTTGAATTCTATACAGATCAGACATTCATACTGGTTCAAAATCGTTATAATTTGTTTTCTACACATAACAATTTTTTTTGTAGTTTCAGTCGTTTTTATTAGTTTACATAGCAAGAAAACAAAATATAAATTATACATTGTTATACAATTTAATCTAATATTATAATCTTTCACAAGATACTACATTGAATGAATTATAGSTATATTAAAACTATAATTTATTTAGTAATAATAATCATAATGTTAATTTTTTTAGTTCAGAGAATATCATAAATTTTAATTAATAATTATCATTACTTATATTTGGATCAAAATTCAACAGGAAAAAAAATTGGGGAGGATGTATCCCCCTCAATCCTCATCACCTTTTCTTAAGTTCTTTATACATACTTGTACTACATTGCTGCAAGAACACAAAACTGAAAATACTTTACTTCCTAGTCCTATAAAATATAAATATATATTTATATTTTTGACAAATCGGTCATAGGATTTTATTGCATGAACTAGTAAATTAATATATTATTGTTATTTGTATTGTATATTTGTATAAGTATGAATTTATGACTGGGAGTCTTGTCACACTGTTATTTTAATCACATATTACATAATTAATTAAGTTATGAAAATGTTAGGTTCTAACTTCAATTTCAATGATAAACTAAAACTAAAAAAATATACATTTACAATGCATTATAGAAAACAAAATAAAAAATATACTTAAAAACATATTTAATTTATAATTGTAATACATGAAAAAAAAAAAAGTTGATCTCAATAGTATTATTTTACTTACTATTTATTTAAAATAGTCAAAATATACCAAAAAGAAAATATTGTATAATTTTTAGTACTGAGCTTAAAATATTTTTTTTTCACCAGTATTTTTTTCTGCATACAATAAGTAGAACTATCAGGACATCGTAATATTGGCATTGTTGAGACTATCRTTTAAAGATCTTATAATAAAATATAAGGAAATATATATTGTATAAGTTTATTTTGCTATGTAACATAATTAAAGGGTCACATAAGGAATTCAGACATTTTTGGGTATTCGTTTATATGAGATCTACTAAGCGATAATTGAGTTTAAAATGTGACCTACCAAGATGATTATATATATATAATGTACAGACAATGTACTTCCTTTCCAATATACTAACATCAATATATATATTTTTAGAAATAAAAAAATTTTATGATATTTTTTGAATAATGTTGACATATTGCCATGTGTTCAATATTCACACATTYTTTTTACTGATTTTGACATTATAAAATGCAATTCTGTATTATTTTATATTTGTATTAATAAATAAATAATTAATTATTATAAAATAACAAGTTAATTTTTTTATTTAACTAAAAATAGTAAGCAAATACCCTTCATGGTAAGTCACATACTATACAAATACCCATCTTTATTGTGAAAATAAAATTTAATATGTCATATTTAACAAAAGAAAATTAAAGAAAAACTTAATGAAAACTAATTCAACCTCAGGTGGGTACTTAACATAATGCGCAGATCATTTAGCATTTAATTTGAATGAGTAATCTAAAGGCATTAACTGTGTTTAATTGTATAAAAATACAGAATACTGCTAAAAATTATAACTATTTATACAACTTTAAATATATATTAATCAAGTAGAAACATTATCCTACCATATTATTTTACTATTCGTGAAATGAGTAAAGCAAAAGGATACTGATCTGCTATTTGTCTATCATCTTGAATATGAAGTTCATTGAGAGAATTTAATTCTTCATGTACTGAATCAGAATCATTATACGATATAAATGGTTTATAATCAGGATAGTTAGATGACCACATATTTTCATAATCATTCAAATTAGCAACAACTTCTGATTTAAATTTAGCAACAGAGTTGTAATCTTCTACCATTGCCGACCATGTTGAGTTTTCTTCTTGAATCAAATTCTCAATTTCTTGCTATAAACAATAAGCGTATTAATTAATTATTTTTTTTCAAACCAAGGTAAGCATTCAATAGTTGCGCTGCGGCAGTTATGGGAAAGCTTTTCCCGAGGCGCTCAGTTCAAACAGTAAAAAAAAAGGTATTAAATAGTAACAATTGGTTTTAGTTTATTTTTGTTATAATAGTTTAATACAATAATATATATGTATATATACATCAAAGGTCTTCAACCGGTTTCTTCAGGTTCACCTAATCTTAATATATGCTATCAAACACATTTTAAGGATAACAAGAATTTTTCAATTCATTTTTAATCAATTAAAACATGTTTTTATTATGAATGTGGTCTGTACTATTTTAGGCAACTGCAGGTGTCAGGYTGCCTAAAATAGTTGAAGACCCCGGTCGCAGATGTTTAGATAAATGTAAAAAAAGAATTAATTTTTAAATACCTTTTTTTTTTCTACATCCTTGATCATATCTTTCAACATTGACAGTACTTTGACGCCTTGACCAGAATTATTAGAATACATCATACTCATAGGATGAGCTACTTTTGATTCTAATGATTTAACCTGAGTATCTATACGTTTAGCCAAAGCATGCATATCATTAAAATTCATATTTAATTTTTGGTACAGTTAGCCAATAATAATAAAACTTTCAAATGAATGTATTTATTTTAAACAAAACAATATGTCAATAATTTAAAAAAAAAATTCAACATCATACGTAGGTAATAAGGGTAATTTAATCATTTTAAATATTATGTATTGTATTATTTGTATTGTTATGTATTATAGAAAAATATTATTTTAATTTTGATAATATAATAATGTATAATGATATCTTTTAATCATTTAACTTTTTACGCGCCAAAACTGGTGATATAAACACAATAATACGCACTTGTAAGACGGAGACAACACAATATTGTGTTTCTATAAAATCCAAAATACCTATCTTATCAAATAATCTTATTAAAATATACTGATAATAAGCAATACGTGATAACTCTGATGGATAAAATAATTTGGCTCTACACAAATTTTCCGCCACCGGAATTGAGGCATTAGTTGGCACGTTGCGGACGGCTGCGGGTATTACGTCTTCATATGAGTGTTGTCTTCGTCTTACAAGTGCGTAACATAGCAAAAACTGTTTCACGTGAGAAAGAACCGAGAAAACTACAGTTATAACTAAGAAACGAAATTTTCAGCATATAAAAAGGAGAATTTTGTCTGTGCAATATCGTTTTTATTTTTTCGGTATCAGAATTACAAAAAAAGTTCATGCTTAAAAAACACAAAAATTAATATATTATAAAACAATAAGAATTTTTTTGTATAAGTGATATCGAAAAAATAAAAACGATATTTCACAGAMAAAATTCTCCTTTTTATGTGGTGAAAATTTCGTTTCTTAGTAACTAGTTTTCTTGCGTCTTTCCCGCGCGAAACAGTTTTTAGTGTTTTTACATTTTACTATAATATAACCCACACGGCTATAGAAATAGACATTATAGACATTATATGGTTGAATGATTCATGATAAGACGTCCAAAAAAAATTCTTCTGTCTTTCTAATACTATCTAGCACTATCAAGTTTTGTAGTTCAAAAATATTATTTTATATTGGTACCTTGAACAGTTGAAAATTTAAATGTAAAAGACTGTAAAAAAATAAATATAAAATATGACTTATATAATTTTTCTAGTTTCAAAATTAACTGACAGGTTTTGGTTTGAAATACAACAGTATTCAAACAAAAAATAAATAAAACATATATTACAATTATTTATATAAGTTTATGTAGTCATTAATTTAGAGATTTTTTTTTAAATGTATTCTGTTTTTTATTTTGTTGGTTTGTTGAATATGTGAACTGTCTCATTCTCATGACAATTAACATATTAAATATATTAGTAAGCACATCACTCTTGTGTTCACTTCATGGAAATGTGAGTTTTATGTTTTATGTTTTTTTTTTTTTTTTTTTAAATAGCTAAAAAAGAATAATTAAATATAATGATTGGATAATAGTTATTATTATTAATTATAATTTTAATCCCAATAAATTTAATAACCTTTATTCTTTTAGGCATGGGCTCTTGCAATTTGTCAATTAAAACATTTAGAACTACTGAAGATGAAATATTATAATTATATTATATTAGACTGTTCTATTCACAATGAATTTTGGCTGGTATTACAAGATTCAAAAATCTACAGAATTATATAATAATATATTTATGTGAATTGCATTAACTTTAAGCTTTAAGGCTTACATTTTATACAATACAACTACAAACCTTTATAGATTGGGTTTGATTAAGTGAAGTTATTCTACAGCCCATGACTKATACTACTCCAGATTTTAATGTAGTCGTTTCAGACATATCTTATTAATAAATAATGTATGCAATTCATTAATTTACAATTTAGACAGATTTTAATCTATGTAATTAACAATTACATGCAGTATATTTACTGTGACCTTCGCCTGAACTCCATGTACTAATTATATCTGCTTCTTTAAAATTACTATAGTAAATACGGTTCCATTTTTTAAAAATGATTCCTAGTGCTTCTTCTCATTTTTTTCTTGGTCATCTTTTGAAATGCTAAATGTGTTTTTGGAAATTAGATTTGGTTCTCGTACGCAGCATTGAGATATTTAAAAACATTATGATTTTTATGTTTTGTATTAACTCAAAATCTCAAATAATATAATAATAGATTAGCTATTAGCATATAATAGATAAATAACATCATATTATAATTTATATGTTATAAATTATACTGTATGATAATATTCACTCCATTTAAGGAAAACATTAAATTATTGTTAAATTAAAAATATATATATATATATTTACATCCCGCACAATTTCAAAATCAAATTTTCTCATGTAACTACTGTAATTATTATTCACTGGGAGCGCTAAGCCGCTAATAGTTATTAGAAATCCAGAAGAACTTACTATACTCGCAAGGACAGTAATATTATCCGTGCTATACTCACCACTTACGATATAATATTGTTTTGATGGGTCGTCCCGCAACAATAGTTCCATTTTAGTATCTATAGCCATGGTCAGATGTGATGGTACCTACTCGAGAGCCTCAGTTGAGTTACCAAGTTAAACTGTTTTTGTTTGTGATCATATCGTTTAGAAATCGTGTGTTAATTTATTTTGTATAACATATGTAAAAGAACTGAGGCCCACTTACCTAATATACTAGTATTGAATATAAACAAACACCAATAAGACCGTAGAAGAAATTTATATAGACGTGTATAAAATCGTATAATACAATAATACAAATCTTGATGTTGATACCAATTAAAATTTTTTATCTTTGAGTTAGCTTAGACTCTCGTCTAGCTTCCGGGGACTACCTTTAGTACCTACCAAATTGACCACGGACCTCAAGTGGCCCCCAGCACATGTGTTGGGAATAATTGCTGTATATCATTATTATTTTATAGCCTTTTAGTACATTTATAAATTATAATTCTATCTGTGAACATTTTATACATGTATTTTTTATATAACAAAACAAAAATGAAAATAATTTATATTGATTAAATTTATAGTACCTATAAATTAGTAGGTACCTAATTAGTAATTAGAAACTACCTATTTCTTTTTTCTATTCGCCATCTAGAATTCAATATAGAGATCTACTAACACATAGGTATGTATGAAKAAGACTTTAATAAGTAGAGTAATCACTATCTTAGTATTTTTTATTTAGTATATAATCTGAATTCACATTATGATTAAGTTTTTTTCTCTTTAGATTTTTTATTTAAAAATCTTAAAATAACTTTGAAAATTAAGTAATAAAGTAGTACAAAAATTGTTGTTATAGATAAAATTATTACAACCAATACATCGATTAAATAGTATTGATACCATGGCATACCGACGGCGACCGATCGAAGATGGGGTGCCCCTTTGTATCGGATGACATACTCTGTCCAATACACTGCAGTTTCCAAAGGAGACATAGGTCGATCACGAAAAGCTTCTGATAACTCTTTAGCCTTTTGTCTATATCTGTTTAAAAATTAAAATATATTATAAATATTTAATGCGTAATGCACACTTATCGTCATTCGTCGCTAATAATTATATTAATTTATAAAATCATAAATAATAATGACTCATAACAATTATTGACGTATTACTTGTGGATTACTTGTTCGTAATATTAAACACAATAACGGTATACTTACTTAGGATTTGTGAGCATAGAAGTTATTTTTATAAAAATTTCATCTTCATTCAGATCTCCGTAGTTCATCATCTCTGCAGCTCCTTTGCTTACAACAGCTTTGATGTTTGTCATTTGATCACCAAAAATTGGCATTGATAAAATTGGAACACCTTCATACACAGCTTCGGTAGTTCCTAATAGGCCACCATGAGATATAAATAGCTTAACATTAGGATGGGCTGTACATAAATAAAAATAAAAAAACCATTATTTACATAATATGTAAATATTATTGATAATAAATTAATAAATACATCAACAACCATATCATGATTAAAATATAAACGTAATACAATAATAATTAATAAATTACACCGCACGTTAAAATTTAAAATTGCTGCATTATAAATCGTATATTTGTAAACGTTTCTGCAATTTTAAATTACATAAAGAATGTCAAACACGTATACATAAGTACCTAATATATCTCGTTGAGGCATCCATTTACGAATCATTACATTGGGCGGTTTTCCTGGTAGTTCTCCTTCCCATTTCCACAGAATTCGTTGTGGAATTTTATTGAAAACATTTAAGAACATTTGTCTTTTTTCAGCCGAAAAAGTTTCACCTCGTAATAAACTGCCCATGCAGAAATAAATTACTCCGTTCTCAGCTTCGTCAATATATTTCTGGATGTCCTATATATATGTATATATATTATATATAATATATATGTAAAAATAATTGAATTATTAACTATAATATAATAAACTATAAAACAATTCAACAATATATTAGTGTTAAACAATGTTTTTTWAAAAAAAAATTTTGTTTGTATTCAAACCTCATCCAGAGGATTTAATGGTTTTACGTGCAGACCTCCTACTTCGATAACGTTTTGTGGTAGTGGCCTACTGCCCCATAATGTATGGTATGTGTTTACAAACAACAAACTAGTCTTCAACACTAACTGATCTAAGTGGGATGAATCTTTATAACGTTTTGAGGCGATTTTCTGAGAGGATATGGTCGATCTCGTATAGTATTTATAAAAAGCTATGGATCGCAACAGTGTGTTATAAATCCGCTCCGCGAAATTCATATGCGGTCCGTACGTGGTCATTAGTACTGGTATGTACGCAGGATGAGTAGAGGCACCCATGCGATCGGCGGACCACACAAATAACGGTGACGTAGTCCACGCAATGAACGGCGCTTTGAATCGTTCTATCAAAGCCAGATATAGATCAGTGTTACATGTTTCGGTCACGATTAAATCGTAAGCGTCTTCCGGCTGATTGTACAGTTGACGCAGCGCATCGGACCCAGTGTATGTCTCACCGTTACGTACGATGTGAAACATGTGTTTGTAACTATTTAAACTCGATGGCGAGTACATGTGGTCCATGGTCACGTAGCTTGGATCCAATACAGATGACGTGTTGCTGATTTTTACTCGCTTGTATTGTTCGGAGGCAATCTCTGGAAAATGTGAATATACCGTCACATTGTGGCCACGGCGGTGAAGTTCGGACATGTAGGAGTCGAAAATGATCTGATGACTAAGGGCTTCGATTGGAAATACACCTAGAATGTCCGCACACAAAGCTTCTCGGAAGAACGAAAGTTTAACCAACARTTGTAAAATTACACTCCTTGAGCTGCAATTCTTCATTTCCATATTGATGGTATAATAGTGAACACACTGCAGACGTCTATACGGTCTACCGGAATACAAAAATATAGTTACATAACGTTTTAATTTATATTTTGGAAGAATATTATCTATATTCATTAAACTATATTGATTAGAGATAAAAATATACCTATCGCTTTTTTTTTTTAATCAAAATATTGACTGATTATAATAAGTATTTAAACACCATTATAACGAATTGGGTTTTATAAATTATGATTTTTATTTCGTATTAAAATATATAGTAGGTATACCTAATTAGTAACTAATAATGAGATCATTTAATGATTGGTTTTACATTTTCTATTGAAATAAAAATTATTATTATGATAACAAAAATTAGACACACAATTAAAACCAAAAAGTTGTATTAAAATGTCTGCTATAAAAGTTAATTTTTGTTGTTAGTCTGGTCAAAATTGAAAGTATATTATTGATGAACGAATGCAGTTATTAAAAGAAACAAAACAAATCATCTCTTTCCAACATATGCCAGGMCTCCGGCACCTCAAATAAGTGGAAACTAAGTCTTCAGTTCACAGCTAATAGAAAAATCACTATACGCCGAAATCACAGCTAATAACACACCACTACCAGAGCAACTTCTGCGCATAATCACCAAATTCCTCAACGAATCCAAAAATCCAAGATCAATCCCTCTCTTAATTACACTCACATCTTTATTGAATAAAATCACACACTCTCATTCCGCATAAACGCACATATTACCATACCTTCTGCAAATCCGTTATATCATATTATTTACATATTTAATGTTAATTTATATTAAGTAGTTAAGTTTTTACAGTTACGCTTAAAATTTTATTATGATTAGTTGACAGTTGTGTAGTTATAAGATTAATTACTATTAATGACACAACCTTATATTATTCAAWTAATTGTCGAATCATGATAACTTTTTTTTGAAGCTAGTACAAATTAAATTTTAAAATAATTTGACTGTTTGATCGCATGCTGATTCCATGGCAAAAAGTTACAAATACTTACTCAGAAGTATAAAAAGTATGTCGGACTTAAATTCAAAATCTAGAAATGTAAAAGAACATTCTAATAAAGTAGCGTTCACTACTTCTCACTGTTTACTGTAAATATAGCATCATACATTTTTTCGCGATCACAATAAAAACACCAAATAATGATATTAAGTTATATTTTGTCCATTGAATTGCCTTTGAAATGGTTGGTATTTTATTATTATTATTGGATACAAGCATTGATYCTTTAAAGGCTTTAACTAATAAATTATTATTGTTTGGATATTATTTTGTATAGTTACTGATAATAGACAATAGTTATGTTGTGTAGTCGACTTTCAATAGTCGAAGTATGTAGCTGTAATAGTAGGTAGTTGTATTTAAGTCCTTAAATACATGGATCCATGCCTCACAGAGGTTAAACCAAATTATAACTTAAGCCTCGATGAGGAAACACAGCTAAGRTGTTTAGCGTGTCCACCGGAGAAACCACTATTACACTAATTTATTGTTATAAATAAAACAATTTTATTACTATACGTTTAGGTGATTAGAATATTATCAATATGAATATTCTATGATATTATGTATGAACATTGAACACTTTTGAATTATACACGAGATAAAAATAACTTAGATGATTAAAATTTAAAAAATAAATTACAATAGTATAGTTGCTATTA